ATGTACCCCATTTCACATACAAAAAAAAAAAAAAAAAAAAAAAAAAAAGGAATCTGGAAATCTGTCCTTCCTTGATTATTTCAAAGAGGACAAGAAAAAACTCTTTTTTTTTGCATAGTTGAGCCACTGGCACACACCGGCTCTCTCAACCCAGCTGATGGCATCTCATCTGTCTTCTGCATTCTGTAAGATGCATGCTAGCCTCAAAGACACATACGTATACTGATACACGCTCATACATATGCACATCCACACATGTGCACACTCCTGCACATCACACACACACACATATGTGCACACATGTATGGATGTTCATAAACACAAACCTCTACTCCCCACTAGCTGCAGGGCATCTGCAGAAATCACCACGGAGTGTCAGGAGTCCATCCACGTGGCATCTCGTCTGCATTTCTGCTGCTTAAGAACCCAACACTTGTTTGTCTTTTGGAAAAGTTCTGTCATCATCCTGGAGACACTTACCCTTGGCAACATCCCCACTGTCCAGCTGCAGCTGAACATTCAACGTGAAGGGAGATCCCTGGTCTACTTCCATCACCTCTGGCCCCAAAATCACGATCTTTGTGGCTTGGGCTGGTAGAGAGCAGAGTGGATTTAGTGAGCGGCTGGGATGGCTGTTCCCTAGATGGCTCATGCTGGAATTGAGAACCCTGGGTTTTGGCACTCTCCTATCTAGTCAGAGGTGCTATTGAGGGACACCTCAGAGATATGGTCTTCCTAGAGCACCACAGCAAAGAGAGCTTTGTGTGACAATCATAAACACAAGCACACAACTGAAAATGTCTAAAAATCCTCCATGACGCCTTATAGAGAAGTGACACCCATTATAAGGGTCAGCTATAATGACTTAGAGTAGATCATTTCATAATTGGACCAATCACATCAAACAGAACGCAGGGGTCCAGTGAACGCTGAAGGGGGAGAAGCAAGCGGGTAGGGGCCTCGTGCTAGCATGCAGGTGGAATGCTCCTGCATGTTTTCTCACAGTGGGGGTTCAGACCTTGCGACCCCTGGGCTAGGCCAGTGTGCTGACATGCTGGCTGCGGGCTGCCCAGGAGCTGGCCTGGCTAGGGTGGGTCCATCGAGGCCACTGGCACCTACTGGTAATCAGGGCCACTCCGCTCCACTAGGGCCTGCAGGGGCATCACTGTGTCTGAGCAGCCAGAGATGACATTTTTTTTTTTTTTTTTACAGTGTCCCTCTACCCCTGCATCTGTGACTCTCCCATATCAAGTGGCCTCGGGCAAAGCACAGTGGAAGGTCTTTAAAAGCAAATGCTGGCAGATGCTTAGGATTTAAGGCTAACTTGAAGAGGCAGAGCAGAGTCCACCAGCGACATTCCAGGTAGGAGGAAGCACATGTCACAGAGAGACAGGGTGCTGCTGGAGTTCATGGGGCCTGTGGGGATGAGGAATGTTCCAGAGCTCTGCTATGTTCTGGGAGGGTCACCCATAGCCCACCGGGTAAACCTGTAATCCATTTAGCATGGAGCGAGACCTTAGTAGAGGTGAATAGAGGCGGCCTCTTATCGTGCCTCTTGCCCGGTCTTCTCCACCTTGAGATTTTGACAAGGACCAAGGTGATTTGAGAGGGTGGTGGTGGTAGTGGAGGTGGTGGTGCAGGTATTGTGATCTGGATTCCTTTTCTCAAGGTGAGGTTACCAAGATGCTCTTAGTGAGCCAAGGGCCCTGCCTAGGACTCCAAGGGCCCCTCAAGGAGATTCCACCTGGGCCAGGACCCAGCCGTGTAGATGCCTGTGGGCCCCCCTGGGGGATTATACTGCCAGGCCCCACCCCTAAGAGCTCCTCTGCCATTGTGGCCACTCCTACCTTTCCCAAGACTTTGGCCCTCATAAGGAGTCCCCCCGGCCTAGCAGGTGTCAGTGTCTGCACTGAGCACAGTGGTTACTATCACCCTGTAGCTGCTTCCACTAATGGGTCTTGATACTCATCTGTGACTAAGTGGGTCCTGTGGCTTGGAGATCCCCATGGCTGGAAAGTCCCTGTGGCTGGGATGCCCCATGTATGGGAGGTCCCTGTGGCTAGGAGGCTCTGTGGCTGGGAGGTACCTATGACAATGAGGCCTTTTTGCTGGGATATTTGGTGGCTGAGAACCCCAGTGGCTAGGAGGTCCTGTGACTGGGAGGTGCCTGAGGCTAAAAGTCCTGTGGCTAGGATGTTCCCATGCTGGACATCTCCATGGCTAGAAGGCCTTGTGGCTGGGATGTACCCCTACTTGAGATGTCCCCACAGCTGGGAGGTTCTACAGCTGAGATGTCTTTGTGGCTGGGAGGTCCTCATGGCTGGGAGGCCTCTATGGCTGGGAGGATCCTATAGCTTAGAGCTCCCCTCCCCATGACCAGGAAGTTCCCTTACCTGAGAGGCACCTGTGGATGGAAAGTCCCATGGCATGGAGGTCTCAGTGGTTAGGAGATCCTATAGCTGGGAGGTCTCCATGGCTAGAAAGCTGCATGGCTGGGAGGTCCCCCTACAGGGATGTCCCCATGGCTAGGAGGTCTTATAGCTGGGATGTCCCCATGACTGAGAGGCCCCCATGTCTGGGAGGTGTCCATAGCTAGGAGGTCTTTTAGCTCTGAGGTCTACCTAGTTGGGATGTCCCCATGACTGGAAAGTCCTTGTGGCTAAAAAGCCCTGTGGCTAGAAGGTCCCCTCAGTTGGGATGTCCTCATGGATGGTCCTATAGCTGGGAGGTCCCCATGCTTGGAAGGCCCCCATAACTAGGAGGTCCCTTTAGTTGGAATGTCCCTATTGTTGGGAGGTCCCCCTGGATGAGAGGTTCCTCTAGTTAGGATGTCCCCATGGCTAGAAGGTCTCTATGGCTGGGAAGGCCTGGTTATAACAGGACAACCTGTGTCTTAGGTCTGATTTCGCCTCCGCATGTTCACAAACCCTTTTATAATCAAATAGGACATGATTTTTTTGGGAAAAAAAAGGGGGGGGGTGGACTTTATATCCCACCTATCCCAGCCCCTCTTCAATGAGCTTATGGCCCAACACCTCCCATGTGACAGCCAGGACCACCTGAGAGAGAACATGATCAACTCTAGAAATGACCCCACAAGGCCAGTGGGAAGACTGAGGACACCTACCTGCTGGGTGGCCGTTGATCCACAGTCCATAGTAGACAGCTCCTGAGCAGTGGGCCATGCGGCCCAGTCCACTAAACACATCACTGTGCCACTGTCCCTGCAGAGAGAACAGCACAGCCTCAGATGAAGTGGCACCATGGCGAGTTGGGGGCGGGGCACCTTGGCTCCCCAAGGCTCCAACAGCCCCCCGGGAGCAAAGGCTGCTAGAGAGCCAGAGTCCTGAGGCCTTTCCTCTGCTGGTAAGAAGCTGACTTTTATTAGAATGTGATCCAATGTAGTTTGCAAAATATATTCCCTTTAGAATTTTAATGATGCCAAGAAGCAGGGGAACAATGGCACAGTATACAAAATGCAAACAAAACCCCATCTGAAATGGGCACACTTTCAGCACAAAAATCCTTCTAATACAAAGATTTTGCATTTGTGCAGTGCATCATAAAGGAGACCCGAACCTGCAAACCACAATAGCGTTAGGATTAAGGTGCCATGATTGTTCTGTTACATTGTTCATGTATAAATAAAAAGGCCAATTAAAAGACACAGCTTGAATAAACATATCCGGACGCTTGGGGAAATGCCTGCTCCCTGCACACCCCAACTCTGCCTCCTCCACAATCAGCCTGGCTTTCTAAGACACATACACCACAAAGAGTAGAAAAGAATGGGAAATAGCAGGGAAATTATTTTCATGGAAAAATTCAAGATGGTAATGGTATTTTATGAGACTATGAATTACTTTTATTAGAAGAAAATATAACCAACGGCAGGTTTGGGTTCTATTCACTGTTTTGCAGAAGTTAATTGGGCTCCTATCTCCCCGCCCTCTTCCAGTGCCTTTCTAAGTGGGACCCCCAACAGCCGTGGGAGGCTGCGGTGTGGGCTATCTAGGCCTCTCTGTGGATCCCTAGCCCCAGGACACGTGCCACAGACTTGGGGAAGAAATGAAGGACACCTACAGCAGGCACAGGCCAGGTCTGGAGCTGGGGAGCAGCAACAGACAGGGAGAGACTCTCTCTCAGGCCTGCAGGGAGCCAGGAGGCCATGTCCCCCAGATGGTGCAGACCACAAAGACCAGGGAGGGCTACAGAACTAAAGGGCTGACAGCCCAAGTTCAGGAAAAAAGGCCTCCTATGGTGTTGGAACCTACAGCCGTAGGTGCACAAGGGGGAAGTGGACGCCCGATGTCATTGAAAGACCACAGAATGAAGAGGAACCTCAGGTCTGGGCCACGCTGGTGGAGGCAGAGGTGATCACAGGTGCTGCCCCGGTGGACAGCCCACAGCTCCAGGCAAGGTTCACTGAGATGACTGGTAGCCCCCATGGGCACTGGCGGATGTGAACAGTAGCTCTCAGCTCCAGGAGAGGCCAGGTGGCCAGAGGCATGACTGCCCTTCCACAGCACAAACCCCTTCAGGATCCAAACAGGGGTTGTCTTCCTGAGAGTCACCCAAGTCACCCTCCTACAGGAGTAGTGGAGCCACAGGAGAGACCCACAGGATTCTCTTTCTCTACAGAGTCCAAGATCTGCCCCCAGCTTCCTGAGGCCACGTGCTGACCGCTCAGTATGTGTGGTCTCCTGGACTGCTCCATGCCAAGGGCTTGGTGGCATTGTACCGTTCCTGCCAACATGCTGCGGTGCTGGTGTCCCCTCGGCCAACAGCCTTCTGGCAAGAGCTGTGGTTTCCTGTGCCTGCCTGTGTCCTGAGCAAGCCGACCCCTGACAAGGACAGGCCTTTCCTTCAGTGCAGGTGGCACACTGCAGACACAGACAGAAGACCCCTCGCCAGGTCACGTGCCACGGCTGCATGTAGGGCGAGGGGTTCTGAGGTTCAGAGGGCAGGAATCAGCTCCCGCTCACAGAGAGTACCAACCACTGTCTGGTGGGCCCCAGGAGACGGACTCTGCTTGGAGGCCCACAGGCACCCGCACCTGCACACAGGCTGTCACCTCAGCCTTGCAGTCTCTGGGATCTCTGTCATATGACCCCAGATTTCACACTAAGCCCAGCATGGTCCTGTGCATTTCGTCGGCATCTCTCTAGTGGCCTTCCCATCTTCTTCCTGGGACAGTCATCCTCACTCTTACTCGACTCACACCTGCATCCATTGAGGGGTGAAGGCACTTCCCTCTCACAGGCCCATGATAAACCATGATACCGACTCCACTGACATCACTTAGAGACACTCTGGGCAGCACGAGGCTGACTGTTCACCATGGTCCAGGACCCTGCCGCAGTCAGTAATGTGAGTGGCAGCTTTCCTTTGTCGGCGCTTCCCACCTGCTCGACTTTTAAAAAGGACAGTAAAGTCTAGGGGGCAGGTCTGGGCAGAGGCCTTGTGCCTGTCCACAGGTGAGTGACAGCGGAGACATGACCAGGGAGGGAGAGACCAGACACACGTGGTTATGAAACACACAGAGATGCAGAGTCTGCCCACGGGGAAGGCTGGAGCAGGTCTGTACGTGAGAAGCCACGGTATAGGGGCCTCGTGGGCCACAGTGCTGGGTGGTATGAGAATTCAGCACCCGTGGGCTTAGCACTGTTAGGAAGGGCTACCGGCTAACCACACTCGTGAAATTCAAGCCCACACAATAGTTCCAGGTGAGCTGGATATTCATGGCTTTAATTCAAGCCATAGTTGGGACAAATATATTCAAGTGAGCAGTGCAACCAGTCTAACAGTGCAGGGTCTTTCTAATTAATACTATAAATCCTACATTTGAAAATTCCTTAATTTCTCAGTTCACTGATGCACACCCAAAGCATGAACGAATACATACTAACGTCCTACAGCCCAGGGTGTTGGGGGCTCCTTACCATACCTGTGGACAACGCCCTTACCATGCGCGCATATGCACGTATATTTGTTTTTCATGTTGTCAGGGCTGGGATTCGAACTGAGGTCCTAAGGCCTCAATGTAGCCATCTGAGGTGGCAGCTGGGTGAGGGCTGGCCCCCAACCTGGGAATAGCCACCTCCTGCCTGGCCTCTGGCTTGCTGGGTGTCCAGGTGAACCCAGGACCACCCAGGGCAATGTCTAATGTGAGGGTCTTACATGTGGGAGTCAGTCGCAGAAGCTCCCCTGGGGAGAGGACAGGACACAAACACCTGAGGCTGCCACCTGCTGTGCCCGGCATTCAGGTAAGGACAGGTATGTGGCAAGGGACACCAGGAGTTGGTGCCAACAGAATCAGCAAAGGAAGTCATTTGGGGCCTATAGCCACAGTCAGAGCAAAGCAAGATGCACACAGGAGGGGACTCCACATAAGGAAATGGTTTGCAAGGTGAGAGGGAAGCACCCCAGTGCTGTGAGGGGGAAGCCTGCATGGGGCTGGCGGCAGAGCAGCTCAGACCCTTCCTGTGAGCTTTCTCTCTCTTTTAAAGAATTACCTACATTTATTAATTATTATTATTATCATTTTAGTTTGCTATAGGGCTCACATTCACCAGAGAGAGACACAGTGAGAGAGACAGAAAATGAGAAAGCAAGCTACCAGGTCCAGGACTCGAACCACGGTTGGTCATGTGGTAGTCCAGCGCCCCAACCTCCATGCCACCTGCTGTCCCTGACCTCTCTTCACTCCTTGAGGCTGAGGCTCAGCTCTCCTAGCTACCGGAGCAGCCACATGGGATCCTACTGGCTCAGTCATTTCACTTTGATACTTTTTTCAGTTGCCAGAGGGCATGTGTGTTCCCCAGAGATAGAGAGACAGAGATGGAGACAGTACCTCCCCACACCCATTAGGTGTGGTAATGCCATAATCCATTTCCCTCCATTTCTCCATCCCATCAGGATCTGGGGCATGCGTGCATATGCACGTATATTTGTTTTTCATGTTGTCAGGGCAGGGATTCGAACTGTGGTCAGCCATGTGAGATCTGCCTTCCAATGCACAGCACTTAACCACTGTACTACTGGGGATGCCCTCCCCCCTTTGATGAGCACAGAATCACTGGGCTGGCCTGGGGGACTCTTTCAGTGCTGTTGCTACTAAGAATAAGTTGAATTTAAATAAAAAAGTATAAAATGTAAGTACTCTCTCCTTTCTCATTTCTAGCGAAATGAGCACCTTCTAGTGCTGTTTTTCTTTATGTGATTTTAGAAAGTGACTATATGGATATGATGCCTCCTCCTATGTTTTCAAGGGTCCCTTAGCATACGCTGGGTCTCTCCACCCTCCCTTGGCACCATCATTCGCCTCCGTGGCTCTAGTAGCCAGACCTCTCCTCTGCCCCAGGACAAGGATGGCCAGCCAGCTACCCCAAGGGACTGGGCACGTGTGCTCTAATGCCTCAAATTCTCCCCACCGTTCTTTCATGCTAAATGCATCCAGGGATCACTGGCCCCTACTTTACTGGACCATGATCTCCTGGCCCAAGGACAGTGGGCACCATATGTACAAAGCTACCCCCAGGCCCTGTCTCCACCCACCCTGTGACTGAAGGCCTGCATCCCTCCAGGCTGGCCTTCCTGCAGACGCCCAGGTAAGGAGAGGGAAGCTGGGGGACAGCCGGCAGGTGAAGGCGCCCATAAGGCTGCCACCTGCTCCAAGCTGTGAGCAGGTGCACCAAACAGCAGGCCTCCCTCTGGGAAAGCCAACACGGGAAACGCAGCCAACGCTCGAAGAGCAGCCGCCCCAGGGACAGCCTGGAAGCTAGTGGCTGCTGGCGGGGACCACACCACAGCCGACACAGGTAGGAGACAGTGCACACGCAGAGAGACGCTGTGCTTCACTAGACAACACGCAGGCCCCTTCCACTCCACCTGCATTTTCCTTGGCTCCACCATTCCAGGCTCCCATTGAGGATACCTGGATGATGACACTCTCGGAGGGCTGCCCTGTGCCTGTGGGGGCATTGCCAAGTCCTCCCATATCCTGCGGAGACGGAAGCAGCACAGCACAAACCAAGCATCAACACCGTCAGAGGTTGCAGGGAAAGGGACACCAGCGAGATTGGTTTTAAAGACAGGTCACCAACCACTATAGCAGGGGAAAGATCTTGGGCTTTGGAATACATTTTTATTTTCTGACAGAAGAGGCTAGAACACATTTATTTTTCAGTAATATATATTTTTTCTAGAACATTTTTTTTTTAAA